AACTGAAGTTTATGCTGTTTCCCCACAGATTCAATTTACAACCCAAAGTGGACAACCACAGACACAAGGAAGATCTCTTCGGTTTCCTTTAAACAAGAGACTTTTCCATTTTATTTCAGACAAACAGATTAAAGTGAAGAACTAATTTAAACTTCTTGTTAACAAAAGGTTTTGAAAATTAAATACTGAACAAAGCTGAAAAAAAGCAAGATTGGTGTTATTTAATAAAACTACTGAAGGGAAATAGTCCAAACAGAAAAGCATAAAATGAGGATTCGTGATTCAAAGCAGTAATTTAGGGAAAAATCTAATATTAATGACTGCAAATTCACAAAGAAGAGCTCTGAAAGCAATCAAGGAGAAAACTGGAAGCCTCCCTGCTAGTAAGCAAGAATATACTTATAAAAAGCTTCCTATGAATCACTTTCTATGGAAAGATTGTTACAAGGCCAAATTTCTATAAAGACAGCACTTGCACACTAGGTTACATTATGATGACCTGAATTCTATAAGGGAATTATTTTAGTTACGATTCTAATCTAATATGAATTATTTAACATCTACAGGCCAGTAGAAGAAATATCAGTATAACTAAATATGGTGTCCAGCAGACACCATATTCCTCTATTTCTGTCCACTTTGAGTATGACTGGAAGTGCACCCTCAACGGCAACAAACTCCAAATTATATAGTTTGGGAATAAATATAAGTAGTGTCTGTACCCATCTTTTTGAAGGTAAGTTTTGAAGAAAGCAGTCAAGAGGAGAAGAAAACAGAACCACTTTTCAATACATGGTACTACAAAACTTGCGTTCAAGAACGCAGTGTGCACTACAAGTTTTTCCTCCAAATCTTTAAAATTTGGACGGGAAAGAACCTCAGATTTTATGAATGGAAAAAACAAGGGAAACAGCTCTTTTTTGCCTAGAAGAGGATGAGGGAAATTGAATGCTATATTTTCGTTCTTATCTTTACTCAATTTTTATTTATTTTAAAAAACTTTGCGTACTCCAGAGCTACTTCCCATCACTATCTTAAAATTACAAGCTTCCCTAAAGAACCACCAGAAAGCAATGCAAACTTCTGCTCTTTCAACCAAAAGAGGAACATCCATACATTCTCTTCAGCACAGTGAAGAAATGTGGTTTCATTTTAGAAAGCAAACCAAATAAAACTCTTCAGCCAAAAAGGATGGAAGTAAAAATCTGAAATTAGGCATTTAAGCATCCTTTGTTGAGAAGCGGTAACTAAGTGTTTTGATAAAGCACCATTTTAACTTCACTCTAGATATTAGGATTTTTGGTGACTAATTTACTGTCCGAGCATAACAGTACTTGGTAAAGACCTCTTCATGAACACCCCTTCTTTTTTAATACTTTAGGATTAGGCTTTAAGGAGCACAGGTACAGAAGCTAAGGTATCTCCCCTCTTGCTGCCAACTTGAAGGTAAAATCTGGTAGTGACTGCTGCAAACAATGGGCTAGAAGTCTCAGTGTCCCAGCATATCTGGGAGTATACTGAACTCAAGTCTCTGGAGAAGAACACCCTCTCCACTGTGGAAAATCTGAGAGAGTGTGATCTATTCTGTAAGCCTTCTTTGCAGCTTGGACAAAACAATCTGACAATATTTGAAACCGTAGTTGTAAACTGGCAGACGTAAAGCTGCTCTTGCCAATCCATTTGAAATCAGCTGAGCTATAAGCCCTGGAATATGAAGAATATCCTACTTTATTTATGAATTTAGTCCAAAGTAAACTATCATAATACTAAAAAAAAGCCTCCAGGAAATCCCATTTAGATAGTTACATTAAATGGATATCCAAGCTGCCCTCAGAAGACAGAAAACACCAAAAGTAACACTGGAATAGAAACTCTGATGTTGCTTTCTTACACACACGTATTACGATTGACACTTTTTTCACAGAACAGTTTGGGTTGGAACAGACCTTAAAGATCATGCAGCTCTAACCCCTCCCACCATGAACAGGGACACCTTCCACTAGACCAGCTTGCTCAGAGCCCTATCCAATCTGGCCTTGAACACTTCCAGGGATGGGGTATCCATAGCTTCCTGTTCAGTGCCTCACCACCATCACCATTCTTCCTTTTGTCCAACCCAGATCTACCCTCTTTCAGTTTAAAACCATTGCCCCTTGTCCCATCACTACGGGCTCTAGTAATAAAGATTGAGAGAGACTTTTTACAAGCCCTCTAAATGTTGAAAGAACACAACAAGGTCTTCCTGGAGCCTTCTCTTCTCCAGGCTCATCTTCATAGGAGAGGTGTTCCAGCCCTCTGATCATATTTGTGGCCTTCCCTGGATACGCTCTGCCTTCCAGCTACTGAGGCCCCCATAACTGGATGGAGTACTCTAGGCAGGGTCTCATGACAGCAGAGGGTACTTCTCTATTTTTAAGTCCACAAATTTATCTGAAAGACAAGCTTTCTGGGCAAAATCTCTGGCTGAAGATTTGGCTTGGCTACAGACACAATTTTTAAGCCAACCTCACATGCTGAAATTACACTTTTTAAAAAATAATTTAAAATTATATTTTGATTGCAGATTAGGAAAGGATTACACTTCTATTTTAAAAACAATGAAAGATTCATCGCACATTTTGACATGAATTTGTGTTCATTAACATCCTTCCATCAAGTGCCATATTTTGATGGTCACTGCAATGCTCACTGATGAATATAGCATATTCCAAACCTTAATTTATTTTTGCATACAGAATAACTTATAATTAAAAGTATCTCAGCTGTGCAGAAAACACAAAATATGCCTGAATGTATATATTTGTATATACAATGTCCTCATAATAACAAACAATGTAATATTGTGAACTAAGCATATTTTTAAAAGAGATGCAAATAACAATTAACCAAATACATGTAGAACTTAACCAGTAAAACACCATGGTGAAAACAATCTTTGTTTCTCATGATTCAAATTTTCAAGTAGAATCATGCAGATCTCAAAAGAGAAAAAAGATCACAGGAATAGGATTTGTACAGTGCATAATATTGAACAGGGGAAGACCAGAACAGCCGTATCAAGAAAATTAATTGTCTGCTGCTTCTAGACCCTTTTTTGAAACTTCTTCATCAATCAACTGCCCATTTAAAACACCAGAAAGCAGAAATTCATATTGCTAACACACTATAATGCTACCCAAACCACCAAGGCTTATCCAACAAATCTTATAAATGTACAATCTGCTTCACTGGTTGACTCAATACCAACTTCTGTTTGTAGTTTAAGGAAAGTTTTCCACTTAACTTCACACTTTGAATGGATACACTGCGCAGAAACTGCAAAACAAGACTTTCATAAAGAATTTCAAATGCAGCTTTGAAAATATGCTGTTGACTAGACAGGTGGATCATTTACAACACTGAGCTATGACTTTATTTCACAACATAAGATAGCACGTAATTTGGTCACAATAAAGTTGCTTATTTTTCTTTAAACAACTTCTATATATAATTTAAAACATGAAGTATTTATCGATATATATCTTTCAAGGATTATTTTTATAGCAAAAAAATAGAACATTAGCCTCTACACCAGGGAAAGTGGGTGAATCACTACCTGCATTATGTCAAAATGAAAATCAAATCAAATGAGCACACAGAGTCCTAAAAAACGGCCCATGGTGTTTTGAGCCCAGCATCTGCCTGGGCATCGTTTCTCTGAACAATTACATGTGTGTCCTTGCATTTTAGGTTGCCATGCTGGAATGGGACAGTGGTAATCCCACACAACAGCACTGTCATATCTTCAGCCTGACATTTTCTCCATTTATCACTTCAGGCCCTTTTTTCCAGGTTCCTGGAGGACAGGATGCTGTTTCAATAGCCATAATATGAGAATAACTGGGATCTCCCACAGCAACGGTGGATGTAAATATCCTGTTGATAACAATTACCACTCACGGACCTCCAGCAATGCCAAAGCAATCAGTCACCAACCCAGAGCTATCTGAAGGAGCAAATTCCAGAAGACAATTCCTCCAGAGCTGTGATATTCCTCATGTCAACCAAGGACAGAGCTGTGCAAGGTGCCCAGGGCCTTCCCACGTGAATTTGTGTTCCTGAGTACACTGCTGTGATAGGCAGCGGTGACAATTTTACTGTACTATAATTAAATCCTCCAAAGCATCATTCTCTGCTGCTGTCCAACAACATCAGAAGTCCTGTCTACTCCATTTCACAGTGTTGCTCCAACACTATGTGAGTTTTACAAAATCCTGTCATGCCAGCACTCCTGTCATACTCAAAGCAGGTGTTCCGACAGAGCCAGCTGTGCCTCCAGCTGGAAGAAACCCAAGTCAGAAAAGACAAGTTTTGGTGCCTCAGCCAGAGCATTCACATGGTAGAACTGCTCCTTCACAGAGGTCAAAAGAAGGACAACCAGGTTCATTCCTACTTTAATGCAAACCAGCATTTCAAGCAGATCCAGCTGAGACGATGCTGCGACACAGCCCTTATGTAGCACAAACCCAAAGGCACCGGGCTGTGTTCACAGCACAGCAGGAGCAGACATAATCCACGTCTCTCAAACGCAGAACTGCAACCTGGCAAAGCAAGCCAAGAGCAACTTCCAGGTAAAGACGACCCATTCCAGCTCCCACAAATCCCACAACTGGCAAGGCCCGCTCAGTTAGTCAGCAGTTTTCAGCACTTGAATGCTGGCCAGATGGTAATCTACCCCTAAAAGAGTAACCTCTGTGCTTGGCACATAGGTTTTATAGAGTGCTGTTACATTTGTAATCAAACCAAAAATGTTTTTAAGCTATTTATTAGCACTAGCAAAGCATCCACACAAAGATTACAGGTGTCCTAAGAAATATTACACCATGAAAATTGCAAATGATAATTGCACTACCTATAAATCAGTTTTTTTGCTGTCAAAGAACCACAACTTCAGGATAAACATCTTCTAAATGTTAACTTAGGTGGGAAGACAGATTGAGAGAAAACTTTTCCACCAATAATTACATTAAAATAATTCTGATTTATTTGAGTATTTTATTTCAAAACATCCAGTGTTACACATTATTTTAAACTGAGGTTGCCCAGAGACTGCTCAAGCATGACAATTACATATTCTTTTTAAGGATCTCCACGTAGCTTTCAGAAATGTAATAATGTTCCTTTAAAATTCTCACTTTCATGTTTTAGTTTTTAATCTCTCCCCTAAAACATAAAGTCAACTCTTTATATGACCTATTAAATTTTTTTTTTGTTTTCTTTATGAATATTTATATTTTATTTTTTAAATAGTGATAAGAAATTTAAATATACAGACACCTTCCTCAAATTTATTAATCCTTTCAGCAATGGACCTCTGGCTAAGAAAATTTTAAAATATATAAATGTCTGAAAGAATAATTTCTAATATTTCTCTTTTAGAAATTAGTTATTATGATGTACTGATACCAACCCAGTCCCCTCCATCTGAACTTCAGACAAAATCAGTTACGTTTCTTCTTAATAAATGGTTTCCCTTCAAACACGGTATTCAAGGAACTAAATAGGAAATTTCTTAAACGTGCTGCTTTTCCTGCGACATCTGAAAACAAGGGGTGCCCTCTGCTGTGCCGGGAGTGGAAGTTCACCCAAACGTCGGCGCAGCATCTCTGCCCGGCTGGGACCAGCGGCCTGGCCAAGCCAGAGGCTGCACATCTCTGCTTCTGCACACGGACAACTTTCTGTCCGTGTCACCGCGCCCTGACACGCACCTGATGGTTTGCACCCTGTTAGTGTCACGTAAAAAGTCCCAACAGAGCAGCTTTACCCCACTGTTGGCACATACAGCTGACTAGCAGCAAAGCTAACACAGTGCTAACTCATTTCTACCTAAAAAGACACTTGACAGACTTCACCACACACATTTTAAACATTTTTAGACTATTTAGTGCACAAAAACGTGCATTTATTCTTAATTAGTTACTTCATTCTTACATTTTCTTTGAACTTTGGCAACTGAGAGAAGAACGCAGCTGAAGATCCATTTCTCTACCTGTATCAACAAAAAGCATCACATCCTTCCTAAAAGGCAAGGTTTCCTATTTTGCTAGGCAGATAGCTTTAATCTGTAAATAAAGGTAACACCTAAAGCATTTCCTTCTGTCCTTCTAAAAGAACCTTAAACTTTTGTTGTTGCTGTTGTTCAGTTTATAATGCAAAACTTACGTATCGTAAAAATGCAGAAGGAAAAAGCAGTAAGAATTCAAGAATTCAAGAATTGAGCTGTCTGCTGTAGACAAAGTTAAATATCATGTGGGTCTATCAAAATATTTTGCTTACCAAGTTGCCACCTTTTTAACAATTTTAATCAGCATTTACATGCCTGCTCTGTAAATTTCACTATTTGCAAAACAGTAACAACAGAACAGTAAACTGAACGTAAAAACTAAACCACAAAGAGGAACCCCTAAAAAGTTACCAACACAGCAAGACACCACTAGGCAACTCTGAAGCAAGGTCAGCAGTACACATTACTGCTGTGCCCAAAAAACTTAAAAGTTTTAGGAAAAATATCATCATGCTTTTTGAATCATCTGAAGACGTGCCCATTTATCAAGTTTACTTATATCTGCCTAAAATAAGCCATTGTTCCACAAACGAAAGAAAAACAGCTGGCAGAGGAAATCTGTACAGAAACATTATCAAGCTTCTCCCCAAAAGAACAAGAAACATTAAGGACCCAAACAGCACCTCTGGCTCTTACTGGGTGAAGCACAGCAAAAGACAGGCAGCACTTTGGGCCTGTTGATTTGCCAGCTGAGATAAGGAATGTGTGGCTCAGGTAAGGGATAAGCAAGACCACACTCCTCGTGCTTGAAAGAGCAGATCCTGCTGATGCAGAAAGGGGATGCAGCTAGAGCCACTGCACCCTCTTCTGAGGGGAGCCCCACTAGCACCAGGGTTGCTCCCAGCTATGGGAAAGTTGATTTACCAAATAGCACACTTCATAGCAATCAAAAATCAGTTAAAAGTGGTGAAAATGTAATTTCAAGGAAACCACACAAAATTAACAGATTACTCTGCAAGTCAGATCCCTTTCATTTTCCTCATTTCAATATGCCACTTTCCTCTGCTACTTCATTCTCACCAAAATCCACTCCCTCTTGTGCACACTCTTCAAAGAGCAAACAGTGAATAATCATCAATGACACCCAGGCTCACAGAGAACTAACTGGGCTAAGAACAGCATGAAAGTAGAGTCATGATTATCTTCATCTCCTTGTTCTGCTTTGAACATCACTGGGACACTGCAAAGCAAGTTACTTTTCTTCCTCTGGTTCGAGTGAAAAAGTAGTTCAGCAAAGTGGAATTCAGAGCTGTAGTCCAGATATTCATTTTTCATGCCTAGTTTGATTTCTAGTATTGCATTATTTTATATTTGTACATGTAATTCCACTTGGAAATGATGCTGTGAATACTGTGTAACATTTGAGTTCGTTAAGAAGCTTCAAAGGCTTGGTGACTTCGCAGACAGAAAAAGAAAAAATGTTTCCAGCTTCTTACTTGAACAGAAAAATAAAAAAGGGGGAAAAATCAACTTCCCAAATCCCTACGGTAGGGATTCCAAATTCCTAAGGTAGCATTCAGTATCTCCTACAGCTGGATCAAGTGATCCCCTTCCTAAATTCTTCTGTGGACAACCCCCTGGACACCACCTGAGCCAGCATCCTGGGTTAGGCAAACTTTTGATCTTCGCACAGCCAGCTTTGATAGTGTGGATTTTCAATGGAAAACAGAATATTACAGATTGTGCACTAATCTGGGATATCAGGTCATGGATTCAGTGACAGGCATTTCCAGTTCTACACGCCCACTACCACACCAGTCCTGCAATAATAATTCACAGCATCAATCTCCATATCCTACCGGGCACACTCCAAGTAATCCCACTGGTGTGGGCAAACAGAACTGAAAAAAGTTACAAAAAGACAACTTCCACCTGAAGAATAATCAGAGGTCAGGCCTTTTCAGCCTGGAAGAGATTTTTTGTGATACATCAGTACACACACAGCTTTTTCGTGTTTCCCTATGTGTCTGCTAACAGGCACAGTCATAATGTGTAGGGAAAATCAGCACGACAAAACTCCCTGCACTGCTAGAGAAAGTGATGGTTATTCACAAATCTTTAAATTCATTTTACCACTCACTCTCTCCCAAGTTCCAACAACTCACATTCTCATACCCACAGACCCACAACAAGCATTTGGAGAAATACCACTTGGATACAACACCGAGGATGAAGGTTGCCAGCTATCAAGGCCTCACTGCACCTCCAAGATTGATCCTGTTTGGCAATGGTGAACTAAGTTTTGGACAAATGTTTTACACCCTTCAGGACTCAACAGTTGTTTAGAGGGTAGTCCTTTGCTCCAGTGTTTTACTTAGTGCAGACTCAATAAATAGCAGACCTACAGCTCACTATCTCTCCATGACTGTTTTCATGGTGGAGGAACAGGAAAACAAATGGCACATAAGATATGGGACACAGGCACGTTGCCCTCCTCCTGTAGTTCAGGAGCAGGGTCTGCTCTTGATGAATCATTCATGCTCCTGCTTATCAGTGTAGGCCTTGCCAAGCCCATCATCTTCAGTTTTACTCCTGACAACAGCTTCCTGGAGAACTGTGGTTTTCCACATTATTATACAGCATCCTTTCAACCCCTGTCCTCCTGTTTCTTTTGCTGCTTTCACACATATACAATTCTACAGGTGTTTCACTCGTGAGTCTTTATATTTCCACTACAAGTCTCTGGAGCACTGGCCTAACAGGTCTTTGATCTGACCCACTACAATCAATTAAAGATTTTCCACATCCTCCCTGCCAGCCTGCAAAAGCCATAATACAGCTTTGCCCACGGAGCTGTTACCTTGCATTCTACACAACCAAAATTACTTGCTCACTTTCTACATTAGATCTTTGTAGGAGCACGTTAAAAAGAAATATGAGCTGTCCATGTTTCTCTGCAGGCTATTTACTACCCAGGGTGAAGCAGTGAAAAGAGAATCACAGAACTGTTAGGGCTGGAAAGGACTTCTGGAGATCATCTAGTCCAAAGCCCCAACAAGGCAGGGGCACCTAGAGCGGGTTACAGGGAAACCTGTCCAGGTGGGGTTTGAACGTCTCCAGAGAGGGAGGCTCCATGACCTCCCTAGGCAGCCTGTTCCAGTGCTCTGACACCCTCAATGTAAAGTTCTTCCTCATCTTGAGGTGAAACATTTTGTGGTTCAGTTTACGGCCACTGCTGCTCGTCCTATCTCTGGGCACCACTGAGTAGAGTCTGGCCCCATCCTCGCGGCAGTCGTCTTTGAGAATCCCCTCAGTCTGCTCTTCTCCAGACTAAACATTCCCAGCTCCCGCAGTCTCTCCTCGTAAGAGATGCTCCAGACCCCTCATCATCTTTGTGGCTCTCCACAGCTCCTTGTCTTCCTTGAACTGTGGAGACCGAAACCGAACACAATGCTCCACATGTGGCCTCACCAGGGCCGAGTAGAGGACGCTGCCTCGGCCCGACCGCGCCGCGCCCTCACCTGCTGGGGGCCAGAGCCTGCCGTGCCGCTGCCCGGGCGCTGCTCCCTGCGCTGCGGGGGGGTCCCTGCGGCGCCCGGCGCGGCCCCACTGGCCCTGCGGACCGGAGGCACCGCCGCCCGACACTGCCGAGCCCCAACTCGGACCGCGAACCGCGACCAGCCCAGCGCCGCCATCGCTGCCGGGGGCGGGGCCGCCACCCCAACGCAGGCGCGGCGCGAGGGGCTGAGGCGGGCAGCGCCATGTTGGGTGAGGGACGCGGGCGCCGCGCTGCGCAGAGGGAGCAGCGGCGGGACGGGAGGACAAGTCCAGGAACTGAGCCAGGAGAGGCTGGGGATGGATACCGGGACGAATTTCTTCACGAAAAGGGTAGCTAGACATGAGAACTGGCTGTCAAGGGAGATGGTGGAGTCACTGTCTCTGGAGGTGTTCAAGGAAAGACTGGATGTGGCACTTCACAGAATCACAGAACATGCCAAGTTGGAAGGGACACACAAGCATCATAGAGTTCTACTCCTGGCCCTGCACAGGACCAACCCCAACAGTCACACCATGTGCCTGAGAGTATTGTCCAAACACTTCTTGATCTCTGTCAGGCTTGGTGCTGTGAACACTTCCCTGGGGAGCCTGTTCCAGTGCCCAACCACCCTCTGGGTGAAGAACCTTCTCCTCACATCCAACCTAAACCTCCCCTGGCAGCACCTCAGGCCATTCCCTTGGGTGCCCCACTTGGTGCCATGGTCTGATTGACTTGGTAGTGATCGGTCACAGGTCAGATGATCTCAAGAGGTCTTTTCCCTCCTCACTGATTCTGTGATTAACACACTACCCCTGAAGGCAAAGCTTCAGTGGCCAAGTGACCCCAAGGCCACTTGCACTCGGGGCAGGGAGGGTGTGGGCAGAGGAAGACACAGCTGAAGCTCATGTGAGGCTGCAGCTGCAAAGCTTCAGTGTAATACTGTATTACAGTAAAATCATCCTGCCATTTGGTCATAAAAAAAAAAACAAACCTTCCTTCAGAACACAAAGAGCTCAACTCTGGAGTAGATGACCCTTCTCTTCCTCAGATAAATAAATAAAAACCTCATACAACAAGGATCGTGTTCCAGAAGGACCTGCTCTACATGGTACTGACTCAACAGAGGAAGAGCAAGACTCTCTCTGTACCATTCAATTCTCCTTTCCTTTGCTAAGGTGCAGCTGTCAAAGGCTGAGGGTACATCTCAACCCATTTTCTGAACTTCACAATGTAATCAGGGCAGTTTAATTTAATGCAGTGGCAGAGCACTAGAACAGGCTGCCCAGGGAGGTAACGGATTCTCCCTCCCTGGAGACATTTAAAACCTGCCTGGACACCTGTGTAACCTGCGTAACCTAAGTGACCCTGCCTTGGCAGGGGGATTGGACCTCCAGAGGTCCCTTCCAACCCTAACAAGTCTGTGATTCTGTAATTTTCTGTAAGCCACTAGAAGGCAACCTAACCTTAGTCTTCTCCAGAAATGCCAAGCTCAGCCATGCAGATTCCCCCCAGTACAGTAGTATATATCAGCACTGAAACCAGACTTCGAGGACTGTTTCAATTAGAAAGAAAACTTCCTTACTTATTTACGTTATCCTCCATATTCACGGGACAATACATTCCTCACATACAGGTTTTTATTAAGCTTCTCACATGTGATTAAGCATATATTCTACATCTGACATGCTAGCAAGGTTGTCAGGAGCCAACTTTTTTCCCTCCAGACATCTGCGGTGGTTGAAGTTTCACGGATTTCACACAAATGTTGCAAAACTTGTTTCCAGTTCTAAGCGCAGTGATAAAAAGTTCTAACCACACCGATACCATGTGCCAGAAACAAACAAAACACAAGAAATTTGAGGAGTACAGCAGATAAAACAACATGTAGGAGGACAGATCTTGTAGGAGAGCTATGCTGAGCGATGACATTGTACACCTCTCAAAACAGATTTCTGGGGTCAGGGACAGGGGTGCTGCTAGAGGTACAGGCCTTCAACACATGAAAACAGTAAGACAGTGTAGCAGATGTTTTCAAGGGTCAGCCTACAAGGGAAGCAATGTTAGAGTTTAGGAGCAATGCTCTTGATGCCTAAAAAAGAACCACTTCTGTGCTCAGGCTTATTCTTGCAGTCTACACTTTGTTAGTATGAATGAGACACCACCATGTGTGAATGAAGATTAATCTATTCCCAACTGGTCAAACCTTCAGAAGTGTGTTACCAAACCACACTGACATCCTGTGCAAAAAACAAGACTGAAAATGTTATGGGGACTGAACCAAACCAGCACTATGAGGCATCTTGCTTCCACTGGCATTGGTCAGAAGTTTCCTACGTGGACGATGCACAGATAAATGGGTAAATCTTAGATGTTCTGTGTTACCCATCCACATCTGCTGTATGAGGAACATGCTCATAAGACAGTACATTGCTACTCATGTGTGATCCTGCTATAACTTGTGTAAAGCCTGCTGAAATGGAAGTCCTTTCTTTAGCTAGGAGCGATCCTTCCTCCTAGTCCAGTGTCCCTTGCAGGCAACACTCAACTGAAATAATCACAAGGGAGAGAAGAAACAAGCTTCAGTTTGGCAGCAGCAGTAGATTCATAATGATTAAGTTGAGCAGTAGTTACAGATTGAAAAGAAATTATGTATCCACAGTATCTGTACAGTATAATTAATTTCTCAAAAGAGTTGGTTTTTTTCATTGCTATATTTTAAAGGTTGCCTTTAAATTACAGGTAAGTCCTTTAAATGCTTGAAAGGCATAAAAATTCCCCTTCCCACACAAAATCCCAAATAACGTATTTTAGTTTCAAAAATATTTTGAACCCACAAACAAGCTTGGTATCAGTTAATCTGGTAAAATAACTACGTGCTACATAAAAGCACATCTGGTGGAAAGAGCGCAGAGAATGTTACAAGTGTGCTTGGTTTTTGCTTGCAGTATCTGGCAGTGGGTAGCAGGACAGGCAGGAATTTCAGTGGGTCTCCTCCTCTGTCTGTTCTGCAATAGTTTCTGTGGCACTGGCATTGGCAGCAGAGTTGAGAACTTCTCCAAAGTCTCCCCCAGCAGGTTTGCTTCCTCCAACTTTCGACTAGATAGAGAGAGCCCCAACATAAAATAGCAGTTACTTGGCATGCCAGACATGCTTAACTGTACAAAACCAGTACCTCTGCATTAGTAAGGTTAGTAACTCTCTTCAGCACAGCAGCTTTTCCAGGACTGAGCAACCTCCACAATACTCTGAATACAAGTCTTCACATATCCAGCAGGAAATACTCACCAGCAAATTAACACAGCAGTCTTCCTTTATCTTTCAGATACACAAAGCAGCCCTTATAAACAAGGCTGATTTCAGAGTCCAAAGGTTCACATACTCTCAAGTTACAAATAGATACAGACATGCAGCCTTTCAAGCCATTTAGGCTTTAAGAGATTCAAAGTTAAAACTTGCTTCTGTATTGCTCAAGAAAGAACTCTGAGCAGTTTTGTGTCTCAACAGTAATTCCTGAGATCTTTATGCAGCAGAGCAACTCTCTTACTTTCTCCAGGTAACATGTTAATGCCAGTTAGTTGCAAGGGAATGCATAGTTCCCCAGGCTATCACTTGCATGCTTCTCATCCAACCCATGAGTGTGCCCATGAGAACAGTCAAGCCTTGTCCAGTTACATGTATTAGTTATTTTGAAAGTGAGCTTTTACTTGGAGAAGCTATTAATGGTTGTTTCTGGAACTTTAGGGTTTTGTGAATACATTTTAAATTAAGATACAAAGGCCTTTTGTCTTTTATGCCAGAAATGAGAGAAGCTTCCCAAGCTAATTCTCCTGGATGGGATACTAGTGCCTAGAAAGGCACGAAATAAAAGTCTAGACCATTGTGGCTACCTAATACTAGGTATTTTATACTAGCTGTTTGTGCAGTTTAGCTGGCTGTTAGTTCTTCCAGTTAGAAGTATCCTCCTGTAAGAGGTGCAGGAAGCACATTTTTTCATTCACAAATCATTAGGCAGAGAAATCATTTCCACTTAAACTACTTCAGTCTTTTCTCCACATCCACAGCTCCACAATCACCGTGTTTTAGTAATGCTTACCTTTAAGTTCTCAACTTTTTCCTCAAAGGACTTGAAAGTAGGAGAATTTCTGGGAAAATAAAAAAAGGAACCACAGAATTTGAACCATATCTGGTTAGTCTATAAATATCAGAAAACAAGCAGACAGTTGCTTTTTCCCAATGGGAACATGAGATTTGTTTGTCTGTGGCTCTTTCCTTGTTTTTAAGGGTAACCTAAAAATAGTTTACCTCTGAATCTCCCCAAGTACTACAAAACTAAAATTAAAACATACTCAAGTTGAAGGCTCACTTTTATCTTTGGCAACTGACACTGTCAGGCCCAGCGAAAGGATTCTTCATATCAACATGGAAGGGAGAACTAGTAAGTATTTTAGGTTTAGGTCATTATACCAGTGATTTCAAACAGGTTTCTGGCTTAAAGGATTTCTTCAAAAAAGTTTAGTCATCACTTCTGGTTAGCCTAGTACATTACTGCTGAAGCAAGCTCAGCAGAGTTTTTCCACTTTTTATAGGAAAACTATAAAAAGTTTAATTGGCTACATGTTAAATTAATAAAACATGGTTCACAGTGGCATTTTCTTCTAACGTTAAATTTAAGGGAGACTCCTCCTTGTCTTTAAGTGCCAGAGGCAGCTCTAATTACAAATGGTAAGTTTTGCACACAAAGAGCAGGACAGCTTGGGATTTCCAACGCTGAGGGCCAGTGTATTATCCATTAGGGTCAGAAGAGTGGCTTAATGCTCCAACTAGCTGTCACTGCCATGTGCAAATTTGTGCAGCAGCTTGTACACTTTTTCTGCCTTTATGCAGGATGGAAATTGCTTGCCTTCAGTGCCCCAGGACTATGGGTTCATAACAGACACAAAAATTCATTATATAAATATTAAAGACAAGGGTGTTTTTTCAAAAGAAGTCTGAAGCTTCTCTTCTCCCTTTGCTTGGTATTTGTGTAGGTCACCCACATTTAGCAGCACCCTCTCTCT